AGCACAATCATATTCACCTACTGTAAACATAATAACCACGTTAAAGTATTCTAGTTCTAGTATCACAATCATATTAACCTACTGTAAACATAATAACCACGTTAAACTACTCTAGTTCTCATAGCACAATCATATTTACCTACTGTAAACATACTAACCACGTTGAACTACTCTAGTTCTAGTAGCACAATCATATTCACCTACTGTAAACATACTAACCACGTTGAACTACTCTCGTTCTAGTAGCACAATGATATTCATCTACTGTAAACATAATAACCACGTTAAACTACTGTAGTTCTAGTAGCACAATGATATTCACCTACTGTAAACATAATAACCACGTTAAACTACTCTAGTTCTAGTAGCACAATCATATTCACCTACTGTAAAGATACTAACCGCGTTAAACTACTCTAGTTCTAGTAGCACAATCATACTCACCTACCGCACACATACTAACCACGTTGAACTACTCTCGTTCTAGTAGCACAATGATATTCATCTACTGTAAACATAATAACCACGTTAAACTACTCTAGTCCTAGTAGCACAATCATATTCACCTACTGTAAAGATACTAACCGCGTTAAACTACTCTAGTTCTAGTAGCACAATAATATACACCTACTGTAAACATACTAACCACGTTGAACTACTCTCGTTCTAGTAGCACAATGATATTCACCTATTGTAAACATAATAACCATGTTAAACTACTCTACTTCTAGTAGCACAATGATATTCACCTACTGTAAACATAATAACCACGTTAAACTACTCTAGTTCTAGTAGCACAATAATATTCACCTACTGTAAACATACTAACCACGTTGGACTACTCCAGTTATAGTAGCACAATCATATTCACCTACTGTAAACATAATAACCATGTTAAACTACTCTAGTTCTAGTAGCACAATGATATTCACCTACTGTGAACATACTAACCACGTTGAACTACTCTAGTTCTAGTAGCACAGTCATATTCACCTACTGTAAACATACTAACCACGTTGAACGTTCTAGTAGCACAGTCATATTCCCCTACTGTAAACATAATAACCAGGTTAAACTACTCTTGTTCTAGTAGCACAGTCGTATTCACCTACTGTAAACATATTAACCACGTTAAACTCCTCTAGTTCTAGTAGCACAATAATATTCACCTACTGTAAACATAATCACCATGTTAAACTACTCTAGTTCTAGTAGCACAATCATATTTACCTACTATGGAGATAGTCACCATGTTAAACCACTAAAGTTCTAGAAGCACAATCATATTTACTTAATGTGGATAAAAGTTTTAAAAAACTCTAGCATGAGCATACGAACTAAATCATTCGACTGTAAAGCAGACTTGAACAATAAATAATTATAACAATTTGAGGTTCTTATATACCACTTTATCACAACCTATTTCGTAGGTCGTCTCAAAGCGGTTCACAAATTATTATCCGTAGTTATTAGTCCTTTGCAACCAGCCGATATCTTTCTCATCTCCCTTGGGAGGTAGCTTACAGTCGGTGCTGCCATTTAGGCGTTCACGGCTAGCATTCAACAATTCTAGGACTGCCCATGCACGTTCTCATTTACAGCTTAGTAAACTGGAACACGTTTGTTCAAAGATACAAAACAGTGCCGTGACGTAGCTCGAACTCGCAAGCATTCGGTCACCACTAACCTTCCGTGCCTCCGGAAATAGCTGACTTTAATAGATTCGCATAATAACAAAGTGATTGAAGTTAATACATGGAAATCGATTCCAACGGATGATTGATATCGATAATGATGAGATACCTTTCTGTATGCAAACAAATGGCAATTTGGCAGAGCAGGCTGTTGGCTCGTTACGTTGAACTGTACCATTTATCATCCTCATTGAGACGCAATGGTTGTCCACAGACTCTACAAAGTAAGAAAAATGCTGCTGTTTGCCTCATCGTAATGTAAACAGTATTTTCGGATCATTGGCTTTTCAAACACAATCAAATACGGATTTAATGAGAATCAATGAATTGATAAATAAGACGCCTTTTTAATAGCATTATGTATTAACACCCATATTTACTACTGCTCACCTGGTTGTGGAATCACTGCCTGAAATAATACCGTGCTGCCAACACAATCTTTGAAAATTTCGTCAAAGTTGTTATCATCTGCTAGGTAAGTAGATGTAGCTGAACAGGTCCTATTGGCTTCGTCAAACGCCATCGACATATTGGTGGGAACGGCAGAAAAAAAAACCTCTGCAATTCATATTTCAATTTTAACAAATTTGATTGATAAACTATTGCATTGAACAAGACTAAAAGCCTTTAGTACGTGTTCTCCTTAACACATTTTACGCATACATTCGTCATATATAGAAAAGGAAACCATGTACTACAGAGTAATATATAATTCGTCTTGTATTTACGCAAAAGTCAAATAAGTTCAAGTCATCAGTGCTTCTCAAATTGCATAACGCACGCGCACATATCACATTAGCACACACAAGTACACAGTGGAATATTTCTAAATATATCCGTCCGAAGCTCTAAGCTCTTCCTTATCGTAATAATCGGCGATTGGGCAAAACTTTAGACCCTTAGATAATGTATTAATATGTGTATGGAGAACCAATAGAGAACGAAAATCGATAATATGTCGTTTTTTTGAAATGAAATATTACAATAAATCTTCGGTGAAAGTCACTTTGAAGCACTTGGGTATTATTTCAAAACATGTCAAGGAGAAGATTAAGTACCGGATTAGATTCTGTAAATCGGTGATAAAAGCAACAGTAACGTATACACTACATCAGAGACGTAAACATGTAAATATACGTCCCTGTGTTATTATCAATAAGAACAACCCGATTTGAAATTTAACTTTCGGGTAATCAAGGCTTAATTTCTGTAACCCGGGACTATTCTAAAATTCGTCTCGAAACGTAGACTTGCATTTGAAATGCCACTCGAGGAACATTTCCTGTTGAACGATGCCAATTTTGTGTCTAGGAAATATTGATAGGATATAGGCAATACGTGATCGGTACGGACATTACGCCAGTGTATTTTCCTGGTTACCGATCCGCCTATATATATGTAACAGTACTATAGTGTTGGTGTATACCTGTTTATTTACATTTGCATGGCATTGTCACTATAAAGCCTCTTTGAAAGCTGTGTCGTTGATGGGACTTTAATTACCATGCATCACGAGACACAATTCTTAGCGTATTAATACAACACTGACCGGAACTACAATATCCAATATAAATAAACATAACGGCTGCTGAAATATCGCTGGGCATTGTGAGATTTGACAATGCCATTGTAAATTTATGTGCAAAATAAAAAATAAAATAAAAAACACTTTTATTACAACGAAAACAAGACCAAGGTCTGCAATATCGTACAAAATGCACATTGGTTGAAATCACCAATGCCGGCAATGGAAACAATTTTAACGCTCATGCAATTTATCAGAAATATCGTCTGTTACACTGCACTGATCAACAGGGGTTCGTTACAAATGTCTGAAATACACATATTCTATAGACCTACTGACACATATGTTACAGACCTACTGATATGAGTCACAGCACACATAAACATTTCAGACATTTGTAACGAACCTGTGCTCCGTCGCAAGATCACTCACTTCAAACGCTATCAGTTTCACGCGTCTCGCATCCACGGTTCCTCAGTTTCTGACGACATGTCAAATAACGAGGCTGTTATAGAATCTACCGACTGTTGTCAGGTTCCCATACAATCAACAAATAAATTCACGCCTGGATTCTTCACAAAATGAGCAAAGAGAAAAGTTCGAATTAACTTCCAAAAATAACTCCCTCGTGGAGGGCAAGGTCGGATTACGGTGTTCACTGTATTTGTCCATGCGCGAAATTTGTTCCGGGGAAAAATCGAAACAATTTCAAATCTAACTTTCAGCTCAGAGTTCTATTGATAAACTTAAATCACCCTATAGACATATCATACGCAATTGTATTGATACTGAATTGTGGAATAAAATTGAAGTGTTTGTTAAAATTTCAAAGTACTACTTTGTTTGCCAGTCAGCACGCGACAATACGCTGTTCAAACTATTGAACGAAATTGTGTGGACTGTCGATAAGGCGGGCATTTTTAATTTTAAATATAAATTATAAGTTAAAAAAAACACCATAAGAGGCAGAGAAAACGTAAATATAAGTATTGAACTGTTTTTGTATGGTATTTATGATCTATTTGAATGACACAGCTTTACAAGCAAACAAGTCATAATGTACTAGCGCGCATTATGTTGTTTGCTTGCAAAGCTGTGTCATTCAAATAGATCATAAATACCATACAAAAACAGTTCAATACTTAAGTATATCTATATATATATATGTGTGTGTCTCGTTTTTTTTCATATTGTGATGCGTGTTGTGAAAGTTATTCAGCGTGGAAATGGATGTAATATTGGATCTATAAAATTCTAACATACAGGTAAGCAGCTAAAATATGTTTTTTCTAAAAATATCTTTCGTTCGACTTTAGTGATCACGCTAACAGTAGCGAAGTATGGAGTAATGCTATTTACGCTTATAATATGCTATGTTGGTTACGTATGTCTTGCTTTTACTCACTTTCTAGCTTTCATCATTATTATTATTAATATATATATTTCGGAAACGGGTGATAAGTGTGGCTCTAATTTTACCATTGACGTCTCCGGATTATAGATGTATTTTTCGTTTAGTCTTTACTACACTGTAGTAACTTCCGGCATAGGATCATTTCCGGTATTAGAAAGTTTGAGGGTTAGGTGCAGTGACTTGCGAGTCCTGTAAGTGTTGGGTGGTAGTTTTATTTATCTTGACTTTATAGATATGCTTTTATGTAAACCTGTCTTTCCCTTTATTTCCTCTTTATCTGTCTGTCTATTTGAGGGTTCAATCTTACTTTTATCATGTGCAAACTCTGAAATAACATGAACGATATCAGTGTGCTTTCGGCTAACTGCCAGGGCCTTGGCGATAAAGCAAAGAGAAAAGACGTGTTTGCGTATCTAAGAGACAAGAAGTATCATATTCATTGTTTGCAGGACACCCATTTTACACTAGATCAGGAAAATACCATAAGAAATGAGTGGGGATATGACAGTTATTTAAGTTCTTTTAAATCAAATTCACGTGGTATCGCTATTCTTTTAAATTCTAACTTTAAAAGAAAAGTGCACAAAGAAAAGAAAGACTTGAATGGAAATTTCCTTGCTTTTGATATTACCATTGAGTGTTCCAGAACAACACTAATTACTCTGTACGGCCCAAATCAAGACAACCCAGATTTTTATAACATTGTTTCAGATACTATTGATAGTTTTGGGAATGATAATATGATTATTTGTGGGGATTTTAACTTATTATTGAACCAAGAGTTAGATTATGATCGTTCATACAGAAATATTAACAATGTTGCTGCTAGAAACAAGGTTTTAGAACTTATTGAAAAGTATAATCTTATTGACACATACAGGGAGCATCACCAGTATACTTGGCGGAGAAGTAATCCAATAAAACAGGCCAGATTAGATATTTTCCTAATTTCAGACAATCTTTTGTCCAGTATAAAAAAAAATCAAGCATTGAACTGGGTAACAAATCAGATCATTCAGCCCCAGTTATAATTTTGAAAATTAATGAATTTAAGAAAGGGAAAGGCTTATGGAAACTGAACAATTCTTTATTACTGGAACATGAATATTTAGATATGGTAAAAAATTGCATCGAGAACATTAAGTTACAATATTGTCTTCCAGTGTATAATTTTAACTCATTATCACTTATTCCCAATAGTGATATTCAGTTTTTAGTTAATGATCAACTACTTTTAGAAACATTATTAATGGAAATTAAACGCATCTTACAGGAAAAAGCAACAGAACTTAAAAGAAGAAGACCTTAAGAAAATTATATAAATTTTAGAAGATAGTATAAACCCAGACCAGGAAGAATTAGGAGATAAGAAAAGGGAGTTAGAATGTATACGTTTGAAAAAAATCAGAGGTAGTATTATTAGATCAAGAGCAAAATGGATAGAAGAGGGAGAGAAACCTACGTCTTATTTTTTTAATTTGGAAAACAGAAACTTTACTTCCAGAGTTTTTCCACAAATTCAGAAAGAGAACAATGAAATTATTACAAAGCAGAAAAATATTTTAGAAGAAGTACAATCATTTTATGCAGACTTATATAGACATATGGATGTTGACGATACTGATTTAGATGTTCATCTTCGTGACTGTAATATTCCAAAGTTAAATGATGTTGAGTCTAGCAGTTTAGAGGGTAGAATAACATTGGGGGAAGCAGGGAAAACATTGAAAGACATGAAAAATAATAAAAGTCCTGGGTCTGACGGTTTTACTTCAGAATTTTTTAAGACTTTTTGGAAATATTTAGGTAATTTTGTTGTTCGTTCAATCAATTATAGTTTTACAGATGGCCAGCTGTCAGTCACACAACGACAAGGTATAATAACATGTATCCCAAAGGGAGATAAACCACGTCATTTTTTGAAAAATTGGAGACCAATTTCACTTTTGAATATCACTTATAAAATAGCCTCTGGAATAATTTCTCGTAGGATAAAAACTATATTAGGAAAACTTATAAATAATGACCAGACAGGATTCTTATCGAGCGCTTTATTGGGGAAAATATTCGAACATCATATGATGTGATGCACTATGCAGAAGAAAGAAACATTCCAGGTATGGTTCTTTTGATAGATTTTAAAAAAAGCATTTGATTCGGTTTCATGGAGTTTTATTGGTAAGGTACTAGAATATTTTAATTTTGGGGTGGACATAAGACAAAGGGTTAAATCTTTACACACTAATGCATTTTCTTATGTTAATCAAGGTGGCAACATTTCTGCACTTATCAACATTCAACGCGGATGCCGTCAAGGTGATCCTATCGCCCCATATATTTTTACACTTTGTGTTGAGGTCCTAGCATCAAAAATAAGAAATAATGACCATATTAAAGGCATCCAATTGGAAAATGCAGATGATTCTGGGTTGATACTAGATGGTACAGAGAGGTCTCTTAAGGAATATATCGATGAATTGAATAATTTTGCAAATATCTATAGGTTAAAGATCAATACTACAAACACACAGGTTATATGGATAGGCAGTAGAAAATATAATGACCAAACTTTCCTTCCAGACTTGCATCTACAATGGGGGAAGGATAAGTTCAACTTTT